CTGCAAGGCTGCCTCTGGGCATCAGCACACAGCCCCTCTCCCTCTCTGGGTCTACAGTCCCCAGCCGCTCCATCTCTCCATGTCTCTGCCTCCATCTCAGGCATCACTGTTTCTCTGGGTAGGGTCCCGCTCTCCGCTCATCTTCCTTGACGGTCCTAGGAACTTCTTAGACTGAAAAGTCAATCACTCCTCTCCTTTTGCAATAAAACACCTACCTTTACATTTCCAACCCTCACACAGTCAGTCCTGATAACAATTATTCACTATTGTACCACAAGAGACCTACCAGCATCTCCTTTCATCAGCCCCACCCAGACAGAATGGGTACTACTCAGTGGAGAGTCTACCTTCCTCTAGCCCTCTTGAAAGCTTATAAGCCAGTCACTTCTTGCCTTTGCAATAACATTAGCTCTTGATCATAAACCCATTTCTCCCTGTCTTGTCCCTTTTCCTGTTACAGCTCTGGGTTGCACAGTGAGGTCTCCCTTGGCTCCATTTTTCAGTCTAACGGATGGTGAAACGGACCAATCCCAGTATTACGTTTTCAAAGATCTTCTTTGCAGTGTTAATAGGCTGTCCAATCAGCTTGGTGGACCGCAAGCATCTCATTTGCACAGCCCCACCCAATCACTTTGGAAGAGTCACAAGACCATGAATAGCTTTAAGAGCCATATTAAATAACTCACTGATCTACAACTAACACTAAAAAGGGCTGGTTCTGGAAAGGGGGTATGAGCTAGTGTAGTACCAATATGGGTGGGTATTTGTATGGGAACTTCTGAATTCTGTCAACGTTTCTGTTGACTGGACACAGTCCACGGACCCTAGAAGAGCTGCCCCAAAGAAACCCACGTCGTCTCCCTCGTTCGCTTACAAGCGCGTCTCCAGTTCTCAATCACTGATCCCAGCGTGCAGAGGAAAACCACAAAGATCTCAAACTTTGACCACGAGACCTTCCGATGTTGGCGATCTTGAATCACGAACCACTAGAGTCCCGCAGTTGTTGTTGTGAAGTGCCGTCGAGTCGGTTCCGACGCATAGCGACCCTGTATAGGGTTTCCGAGGAGCAGCTGGTGAGCTTGAACTGCCAACCTTGCAGTTCAAACGGCTTTGCAGTCTGGCACATTAACCCACAGCAGAAAAGTTCGGCTGTACTGAGGTCAAATATCTCCGATTACACATCCCATTACGACTGTTGAACACTCTGCCTCAACAAGAGAGCGCACCCGTCAAACTCCCGACGGTGGTCCGTACAAAAGCCAACGCGGACGACAGACTCCCCTCACTCTGAGCCCCCAGCCACGGAAGAAATGACTTTTCTCAAACATCAGAGCGAACGACCAGTGGCTGAATTTACGTCCTCAACTTCTTCCACTTCGGATCTCACAATTTAGCTACTCGGCGGCTTACGGTGGCCAACGAGGGCCTAAAGTCTTTGTACGGAGGTGACGATTGGCTGTCTGGCTTAGAGGTAGTATGTCCGCGCCCTGTGCGCAATGGTCCCATGGGGGCAGCCATGTTTGAATTGCTAATATACCAGAGGCAAAGGAAACCTTTATAAACTAATAACTAAGGGATAGCTTGGAGTCCTGGTGTGGCGCTGTGGGTTAGTGTGCTGGACTGCAAAGTTGGTTTTATTGTGAATTGAGTGATAGCTAAAAATATCTAAGTCATATTAATTATGATGATTGCGTGAATGATGGGAGAACATCAGCTTTACACTCATCCTATGTATTTCGTTTCATTGCAATGATTACAATCCCCTCCCTGCATCATCATTCAACAGTATTTGCTGCTTGTATTCCCTCTGCGTTTTTTGTTTTTTTTTTAATGTACACAAAAACACTCAGGAATATATAATCATTTAAACAACCAAAGGGCACATTCTGCAAGCCTGCTTCCTGACCGCCAGCACACAGCCTTTCTGTTTCCATGAATTTAGAGTCCTCAGCTGCTCTCTGTCTCCATGTCCCCATCTCTGGTGTCACTGCTTCTCCGGATAGGGTTCCACATTCCACTTGTGCACTTCGCCCTTGATGGTCCTAGGGTCTTCTGTTTCTGGAATGTTGGATTAACTACCACCATCACCACCCCACTTCTGTTACAAAACTTCTATGTATACAGTTGTAGCAATGTGATTATTAGTCATGGTAACAATTACTATTGAATCATAAGAATCTTACTCCCATCTCCTTTCACCAGACCCGTCTAGACATGATGAAAACTATTCAGTGGGGACTCTACCTGCCCACCCCCCAAAAACTAAACTCCCTCTTGAAAACTTGTAAGCCATTCACTTCGTGCCTTTATGCCTCCCCTCCCGATTTTAGGTAGCCAATGTCTAAGTTGTCAAAGGCTTATTTTCTATATATTTTTTGATACACGATGCAAAAGAATCTATCACTGAAGTAATGCCATATTGTCATCTTAAGGTTTTCCTCTAGTATGAAAATTCTGACATTTATTGAAATTTTATTTCCGGGTAAAGGCTTGCCCATGACCATTATTTTTTATTTAGCCAGAAATTTAGTGATGATCACAGATAATTAGGATAACTAATCTCTGCATTATAGGATTTACCTTGCTATAAGGGGACCTGGTGGCGTGGTGGTTAAATGCTTGGCTGCAAACCCAAATATTGGTGGTTCAAACTAGCCAAGTGCTCCATCAAGAGAAAGATGCAGCAGTCTGCTCCCGTGAAAAGGATAGCCTTGAAACCCTATTGGGGAAGTTCTATTCTGCCTTATGTAGTTGCTATCAGTTGGAACTGACCTGAGAGTAATCTTTTTATTTTATTTTTAATGGATATCATTATATAAATATATATTACATTTTCAGACAAATAACCAAGAATTTTTGTTCAAGGTATTTCCACATTAAATGGATCAGGTTTTTCCTAGGTGATCTTCACTAACAGAAAATGTGAGGTACTGATCAGTAAAGGCAGTACCACATCTACAGGTCTCTCTTCTGGGCAAACTCTTTAATCTCCCGAGGGTACACAAATCACAAGAGGCAGCCCTAATTGTTTACATTTCAATCTGCAGGAAACCCATTGATATATCTGATCCTTGGTTGGAATTTTTTTTTTCTTTCTTTCTTTCAGAGTTTTACCTTCTTGCCTGCATGGTTTCTGCTGAGAAGTCAGAGCTTAGTTTTATTGGTTCTACTTTGTAGGTAAAAATTTCACTTTTCCCAAGTTGCTCTCAGTTGATTATAAATGTTGGTGATTTTCTTTTGGGGTCTATCTTGTTTGGGGTTCATTCAGTTTCTAGAATGGTTATCTTCTTGTCTTTCATGATATTAGGGAAGTTTCCTTCCAGTAACTGACAATTTTCTGTGCTTTGTATTCTGTCTTCCTGTTCTGGAATTCCAATCACCTACAATTTATTCCTTATTATGATAACCCCACATAAATCTCAGACTTTCTTCCAATTTTTTCATTATTTTTCTCATTGTTCTTCTAGCTTACTATTGAGAGATGTATCTTCAAGGTCACTAATTCTGCTTTCATTGATTCAGATCTCCACCTGTGCCTTTTCACTGCATTGTCCATTTCTGAGATCTTAATATTAATCTTCTGGATTTCTATTTGCTGGTTTTCTAGTGTTTCAAAATTTGCATTTATTTAGACTGTTCCTGTAGTGTTTTCCTAAAGTCTTCTAAAATTTTTTTCTGTGTTCTCCTAGTTGTCCTTGCTCTTTCTGTCACTTTGATATTTGAAGGTTTGTGAATATCATTCTTTTGAATTCTTTCTCAGGTAGTTCCATTATGCTTTCTTCCTCAGAAACATTTTCTGGATCTGGATCTTGGTCATTTGTTTGAGTCACTCATTTCTTTGTGTGGGCTAAAATCAGGTTTTCTCCAAGGCATTATGATGTCATTGTACTTGTATTTAGTTCATCACTGTATGTTGGTGTGTTCTTAAGCTCTTACCCACTGTCTCCCAGTGGTGAGATTAGAGAATGAAATAATGTGCACTGTTTTCTGTTCACTGTTTGTGCAGCTCAGTTCAGGGTGGGTTTGGCTGGTGTTGGCTGATGTCTGTCATTGATCAGTTGGTATTGACTCTTGCCAATGTGAATCTGCTTCATCAGACCATTCTTTGTTGTCTCTCCAAAGCTGCTTACAAAAGTTAAGGCTATCTATACCACGTCTGGCTGGCAGTGGTCACCGATCAGTCTCCTTCTCCCTTCGCCATTGCTCAGCTTCTCCTCCCATTAGGTATTCAATCCACTTCCTTAACCTTTCCTCTGAAGCTTGGGGTTCTGTTGGAGACCATCCGAGAACTAGCCATGAGGAGGACGATGGCATGAGGAAGCAGTACCGCTAGTGACTCATGACAAGTGTAATATGCCGGCACACTGATGTAGAACGCAATGCCTAGCTGTGACTACGCAGACTCAGTGTGGCGCTCTCAGGTTAATAAAAAGCTAAATAACGGGTCTGTTTTTGAGGAAATGTTCCTGGCCTAAAAGATCAAACATTTCTTAGATGTTTGATGTATGCTTACCTGGGAGGTTTCATGGAATGCAGAGGCTAATAAATACTGAGACATGTTTTATCTCGGGGCTCTTGACCCTAGCGATCATGAGTCCTGCTGTCTGTCTTATACCTTAACCTGTGTCTGTGTTTTATTTCTAAAGCTGCGTCCTCTCCTTCTGACCCTGGTTGTGTCAGCTGGCTTGTGCAGGGTTCCAGGAGTGTCCTGTGTGTTTTTCAGTATGTCTCCCATATCTTTATCATAGAGGGTCTCCCATATCTTTATCATAGAGGGTCTCCATAGCATGTCGGCCTATTCCACCATCTTGCTAGAAGCCCTCCCTACTGATATATAAAGAGGTCCAAGAAATATGAAGATATTTTACAGTCACCATATCAATGGTGTTTTCCTTCTGCATGCGATCACTTGTATATAATGAACTTTGACTGTTAAAGGAATTTCCATCTTGACTGAATCTACACATTTCTCTTGTGCATTCTCTTATGCTTACTGGGGTTCATAAGTGGGAGAAGACCCTTGCATAATTGCTGCATCCATATGGTCTCTCTCCTGTATCAGGTCTTTGAGGTGTACATTGAGAACTGACTTGGTGGTGAAGGCCTTTCCTTGTGTGAATTCCAGTCTTCTTGTAACTCACAAGTCATTAGGTTTAAGATCCATTCTACACTGGTATGACCTCAAATGATTGACTATATTAAATTAGATTTCAATTTGGAAGGGGATTAAATTACATTGCATTATGGAAGGTAATCTGTTCTACTCGCAGCCAGTGGATTTAATCATAGGTATAGGAGTCTTGGTGTGGCACTGCAAGATAATAAGCATTGGGCTACCAACTGCAAAGTCTATGGTTCTAACCCACCAGCCATTCCTCAGAGATCCTATACAGGGTTGCTATTAGTCGGAATTAATGGCAGCATTTAACAGCAGCTACTGTATAGGGTCGTTATCAGTTGGAATCAACTTGATGGCCATGGATTTGTTTTGTTTTAGTAACTGCGCTACAGAACAACTGGGAAACAGTTGAATCAAGTTGACACATAAATTAACTATCACATAGGGTTACTCTTTAGCATAAGTTCACTTATGTACAGTGAGAGTGCATTTTTTGGGGAAGCTTTTTCAAGTTGATCATATGCATAAGACTTCTCTGTGATATGAATTTGCTGATGTATCATGAGAGTACGCCTCACAGTAAAGCTCTTTCCACATTCGTTGCATATGTAAGACTTTTCCCCTGTATGAGATCGCTGGTGATCAACAAGATTACTTTTCCTAGCAAAGCCTTTTCCACATTCGTTGCATACGTAGGGTTTCTCTCCCGTGTGAGTTCGCTGATGTGCAATGAGCACGCTTTTCCCACTTAAAGCTTTCCCACACTCACTGCACACGTAGGGCTTCTCTCCAGTATGAGTGCGACGATGAACACTGAGATGACTCCTTTCAGTGAAGCCTTTTCCGCATTCGCTGCAGACGTAGGGCTTCTCTCCCGTGTGAGTTCGCTGATGTCCAATCAGCCGGATCTTTGCTGAGAAGCCTTTCCCACATTCACTGCATAAATAAGGTTTCTCTCCTGTATGAGTTCGCTGATGTTCAATGAGACGACTCTTCACGGTAAAACCTTTTCCACACTCACTGCATACATAGGGTTTCTCTGCATTGTGAATACGCTGGTGTATGATGAGATCGATCTTCATGGTGAAGGCTTTCCCACACTCACTGCACACATAGGGCTTCTCTCCTGTGTGTGTTCGCTGATGTCTGACGAGAGGGCTCTTCAAGGGGAAGCCTTTCCCACACTCAGTGCATACATAGGGTTTCTCGCCAGTGTGAGTTCGCTGATGTCTGACGAGACAGTGCTTCATGGAAAAGCCTTTTCCACATTCGCTGCATGTAAACGATTTCTCTTCTGTATGAGTTTGCTGATGTGTGATGAGACTGTTCTTCAAAGTGAATCGTTTCCCACATTCATTGCATATAAAGGGTTTCTCTCCAGTGTGAGTCAGATGATGCGCAACAAGACGCCTCTTCTCCATGTAGCCTTTTCCACACTCACCACATACGTGTGGCTTCTCTCTTCTGTGAGTTTTCTGATGTGTAGTAAGACTGGACTTGGTACAAAAGGCTTTCCCACAGAGATTGCACCCATGAGGTTTCTCTCCAGTATGAGTTCGCCGATGATAAATGAGCAAGCACTTTTTGCTGAAGGCTCTCCCACATTCGTTGCATATGTATGGTTTCTCTACTGTATGGATTTTCTGATGCATGTTCAGTTGTGATTTCTTAAGGAAGGTTTTGTCACATTCAGTGCATTCATAATGTTTCAGCCCTGCATGAGTTCTCTGATGTTCAGTCAGCCTGTACCTTCTGGAGAAGGCTTTCCCACACATACTGCACTCATGAGGTTTCTCTCCCGTATGAACCATCTGATGATCAATGAACTGAGACTTCTTGATGAATGTTTTGCCACAGTCACTACATACGTGAGCATTCACGATTTTGGCAGTTCTCTGATGGTTCACGATCTGGGGCTGGCTCGTGACGTACTTTGTACTTTCAGAGAAATGGATATCTGTATAAAGTTGCTCATGCTTATCTTGGAGGAAGGGATGTCCATCTCCGTTAGACTCAGTAAAGTTTTTCAGATCACAACTTCTGCTCTGGTTCTTTGAACTGAAAGTTGCTTTTAAAGTTTTTCCATGCAAGTCAAATATATCATGATGTTGCTTCAATGGAAAGTTCTGATGACAAATATTTCCAAATGCATTATATTTGTGGCATTGTCCCATACACTTCTGAAATCTTTGCATTTGCAAGCGACACTGGAGGGGATCATCAACTTTCCCAATTTCTACAAAAGAAGAGGACAATGAATCATTCCATCATCTCAGTTTGGAATAAGTCCATTTAAAATATACTTTGGTGTCAGAAGACACTTTAGTGACAACCCTATGCTCTGAGTATAAAAGAGACTCCATGTACACATGTTCTTTAGCTCTCATATATCAGTAAAAAGACACTAATATGAACTCCAGTGTTAAAAATGGTGTACCAACATGAATAGATAGTTTAAAACCTATATAGACTGGGCTACTTTCCTTGGAAACCCTATACAAGGTCACCTGGGGTTGGAACCGACTCCATAGAACTTAACAACAAAAATGACAACTTTCTGTGTAGGCCTTTGTACAACATTCAGAGGTAATGAAATACAAGCAGGTCACTTTTAGCAGAATTTGGCACAGAATTTAGAAGGATACCAGAAAACAGAAACCGAAGGACTATCAGACCATAGTGGTTGATCCAAAATAATGAGGGCGTCATTCATTCAGTCCATAAATAGCTGTCTAATGGCTAATATGAATGAAGAACTGTGTTTCTATATTTGGGATATAAAACTTAGTTCTGGTTTTCATTGACCTTCAATTCTAATAAGTAGAAACTGAGTAAGCCAAGAAGGAAATAAATAAAGAAGACAACTGCAGATTGTGAAGTGAGGATAATGGAGAAGACATCAAAGTATATGTATAGGAAGAAAAGCATCCACGCCATTAGTTCCCTTACAAATACACCCTAACACTGGCCTTCATGTGGCCAGGTTCAGGCCAGTTTTCCCAAAGTCCCCCTCATGGCTTTGCACATTTTAAATTTCATACCTTCATTCCTTCTGCTTCGGTAGTATAGTGATTAAGAATCAGGCTGCAAACCTTAAGGTCAGTAGTTTGAAACTATCAGCTGTTCTGCAGGAGAAAGATGAGGCTTTCTTCTCCCATAAAGATTTACAGCCTTGGAAACCCTGTATAGGGTCACTCTGGGTTGGAACCGACTCCAAAGCACATCACCAGCATTCCTTCTGCTTCATCATTTTCTTATTCAAAACCAGAATTATGTCTCTGATCCATTATGTTATCACTGCCGACTCTGTCTATAACCCTGTAAGCTCTAGGTTTGCCCAATGTTAATCATTCATTTCGTTGCTCATTTTCATAGGGAGTTTCACAGAATCTTAATTATAGCAAGAATGTCTCAGGATCAAAAGCCTAAGTTCTAAATATCACGCAAAGATTTCTCATTTGTTACTACAAATATCTTTATTCCTGGAATAGTTCTTTATTTCTTAGTAAATTCAGTCTCTTCAAATATTAGGGCTTTGACTTGCTAACTGTAAGGTCACAAGAACATTCCTCTGAGAGCTATATGACATACTGTTCGTGTAGTTTGCCTTGGCACATTGGAAAAACAGTTTGAAAGATTTTTTATCCCAAATCCTGCCCTAGTTTTCTACTAGAAGGTTTGTTCTTGGGTAAACTGCAAACAACTTGTAGCTTGACACTTTTTGTCTCCCCTTGGGCTACAGCCTGCCCTAGCGTTTATAAGTACCTTGCAGAGATTGGTCAATAGTCTGTGCAAATGTAGTGTCTGTAGCCAACTATGCAAATGAGGTGTCTGTACTCTACTGAGACACAATTGGTCAGTTTGTGGCCTCCTGCGGGGAGGGGCCATGCCTTGAAACTGACAAGGAGTTGTGTGTGTATGTTGTTGTTGTTGTTAAGTGCCATCGAGTTGATTCTGACCCATAGTGACCCTGTAGAGGGTTTCCAAGGAGCAGCTGGTGAGCTTGAACCACTGACCTTGCAGTTCAAATGGCTTTGCAGTCTGGTGCATTAACCCACATTGTTCTTTGCCATTGTGTGGAATATGACCCATAGCAACCCTGTATAAGGTTTCCTAGGAGCAGCTAGTGGGTTTGAACTGCCAACTTTGTGGTTCGCAGTCCAGTGCTTATCCTACATCACCACACCAGGAATCCGAATGTTGTTAAGTACTATAAAGTTGGTCCCCACTCATAGCAACCCTGTATAGGGTTTCTGAGGAGCAGCTACTGAGTTTGAACTGCTAGTATATGTACACTGGCAGTTCAAACTCAGTAGCTGCATATATATAGTGGTGGTTATGTGCCATGGAGTTGGTTCCGACTCATAGCAACCCTGTACAGGGTTTCTAAGGCGGTAAATCTGTATTGGAGCAGAAAGCCTCATCTTTCTCCCGTGGAACAGCTGGTAGTTTCGAACTACTGACCTTAAGGTTTGCAGCCTGATTCGTAACCACTACGGTACCAGAGATATATAGCCAACCCCAGAGAGGGAAGCAGGAAAAGGAGCAGCAGAAAAAAGAAACGCAGAGAGAAGGGGAGGCGAGGAATCTGTAAGATTCCTGTAACTCACACAGGTCAAGGACTGTAACAGGCCAGAGCACAGACAGTAACAGCAGCAGAGGCCGAAGGGTCAGGAAGAGCCTGATGAGGCACGTCCTAGGGTTACGAGGAGCCGAGAGGGCTGTCCTGCACTGCAGAAGGGTGACTTTCCCTTCATGCTTCCTGGTCCTGAATTGTAGCCTCTTCCTTGATAAACCACTGTACATATAGCATACTGCAGAAGGCATCCGACCTCGCTAGCTTTATAAATAGGAAGGGGGAATCAAGATCGATAGCCCAAGTTTGAGTCCTCTGAGGCAGAGGTTTGATATGCCTCAGCCTCCAAACTTTTAACCAATTCTCACACAAACCATCCTTCCTACTGTGCTCTCTATTTCTCTGCTGGGTTTGATCATTTATTGCAATAACCACATAGAAGTTTCCGTCGGAAGGCACTCAGCTTTCGTTCTGTGGATTGGAAAACGTAGCTGTATAAGTGCCTGTTGTTAAGTACTGTGGAGTCGGTTCTGACTCACAGCGACCCTATACAGGGTTTCCGAGGCTGTAAATCTTTACGGGAGCAGAAATGTTCATCTTTCTCCTGCAGAACAGATGGTAGTTTCAAACTGCTGACCTTGAGGTTCGCAGCCCAATTCATAACCACAACGCTACCAGAGCTCCTTCTATTAAGTGCCTGGAGGAACCGTATTCTATCAACAAGGCTCTTGCCAAAGGTGCCAGCTCACTCTGGGCTGAGGCGCCCACTATGTCTCCTGCTGCCACGATTCCTCTGTTGTTGCTTCTCACCATCTTGTTACAGCTCTCTTTCTGTCTCCTTGGTCGAGAAGGTTCTCAGAAGAGGAATCCCAGGTCCAAAGGATGCACTTTGCCCCTGTCTTCTTGGTGGTCATGGGGTCCCCCTTTCTACCTGGCACAGTTGAGAAGAGGCTGGTCTGATATCACAGAACTGCATCTTAAGTTATTTCTGATCTTGATTTGTAATCTGTTACTTC